ATTTCAAAGGTATAAAGTTTCTAATTTTGTGAAAAATTCCAATGAGAGGAGTTATTTTCTTCCTAATTTTTTCAATATGTTTATTCCATGACAATTTCTCATCAATGTATAAACCTAAAAATTTTATTGTTTCTGTATATGTTTTCAAACAATTGAATTATTTGAAGTATTGATTGGTCCCGGGGAAATATCATATATGAGCATTTATTGAAATTAAGTCTCAATTCATATTCAATAAGCAAATGAGAATTTCATCCAAATCATTCTTCATATCATGTTTAAATTTTTTCGTAACTGTCTGAGAAATATGTAATAGTAGTATCACCAGCAAGTAATTTGATTATGCTATTAAATTTTAAATTGGCTAGAGAATGATTAAAAATAAAGAAACAAAACAGGAACAAAGATGGATCTTTGGGATACACCATAATATCATAATATTATTTCCTTTGAGCTGAGAAATGAGTCTATAACTATAACTGTATAATATAACCATAGATAGGTAACATTAATTTTAGATTATTGTTGACTAATCTCACGTTTTGTGATACCCAAATATTCACTTTGATCCAGTAGAATACACTTTGTTTCTAGTAATTAGTTGGTTATTAGTAATCAGTTATTATCTTTCCTTAAAGATTATTGCTGTTACCAACCAAAAGTATTTTTTTCTGGGCATATTGTGAATCATCGTAGCTAATTTCGATTACCAAATATATGTTCCATTTCAAATTTAAAAATACTTTAACTCGTGTAACTCATCAGTGTCGAATGAACACTGTACCATTTGTGTGATGGTGGAGAGGTTTTTTTGGAATGGAAAAGAAATTAAAATTTTTGTTAATACTTTTGGTCAAATTTTGTGATTGTTGAAAGAAAATATATTCTTTTCAGATGGTATATTCATTATAAAACTGTACAATTTCTAACAGGCTTTTACAGGTGATGCAGTACAAGAACTTTTTTTCGCAGCATCGGATAATGATACTCCGGACCATACCCAGTTTGAGCATCCTCCTTGAGCACACAAAATTTTCACGGCCATTGAGTTAGATCCAGTCATGTGTCCACGAATGCCTTTGGCAGTGAACTTGGTGATGGGAATGTTATTTTTAGGTTTTCCTGTTGGTTTACCGTTTTCGTAATCCTGTTCGATGTTTATTCCAAATTTACGGATGCCTGTAAAAAATCACCATTCGAATGATATACATTGTGACCATTAGCTTCATTTGAAATTCAGCTTTGACTTGACAACGACAGAGCAGTTAGACTAGTATGAGGAGTAGCAGTTTGTGGTGAATCTACGCACCAAATAACGAAAACTATTTATTGAAATATGAAACCAGAGCTGAAAAAGTGTCTTACATCATACCGGCAACAAAAATGTGTTGCATTCAATTCAAATTTTCCCGAGTTGAACTTTGGAAAAATCTATCTTTGAAATCACGAGCACAATCCCCCTTGTCTCTTGTACGCGATGGACACGCATATTTCATAGTTGTCTACTATCTGGTGAATAAAAAACATGATAATCATCATAAATTTTCACAATATAGATTTCACTTCCAATACACTACACTAGAAGTTTCCTCATTTGGACTTTCCAACATTTTTTTTAAGACAAAACACAAGCACCACAGGAAAATCCTTAAGGCGCTATAAGAGCGGTGCTTGTGCGAAAGTAGCGATTCACGTTGAATTTGTATCGCTGGAGAAAACTGGGGAAGCTACTATGTAGTGAAACGAGACAATATTGTTAAAATTATTATCATGAATAGTGTTATTGATTCTCACCAAGTAGTGGGTCGATGTTGTCGAAAATTAAAAAACAATGCGTTACATGTGCACTAATCGAGTGCCCACAATACAGAACTTTGGCATAATCTAGAAAATAATTCGAAAATTATATCAAAATATAAATCAGACCATACTCGAATTTACTTTCTCAGTATGTATAGCCGAAGTAAATGGTATTGTGCACACTTAAAGTTATCGGCCCTCTCGAAGGCAAAATAACCAATACATAGAAATGAACCTGATGCGAAATAGTCCGCGTGAACTGAAGAATTGTCGGTTCGTATTGGATAATTTTCACTAACACACAGGCACCCTTCAAAGTTTGAAGGGTGCCTAGAAGATGACAGTACTACCAACTGTCGAAAGCGCTCGCAGAGTTGTGAATTTTTTCGCCAGTGAATAACATTACAATTCAAAATGAGTGAAAAAAAATTAATTGAACATATAAATTGACGAAAAAGTTAAACAAGTATATGTATATGAATTTGTCACCACCATAACAATCTGTAAATAACATGTAGCTAATATCCTCTCGTGGTTGATAATTAAAAAACTTCGTCCAGAATTTCTGCTTCGATCCAATAATGGTGCTCTCGTGATTTGCATCATCTGTTGAATTTCATTTTTTCCAAAAATATTTCGAAAGTGAGATACTTTTCAAAAATATCGATAAAGTTTCTCTAAATGAAATTGATAACTCTTATGCAAATTTCAACTACATAAGTTAATTTTGACTGTGTAAATCGCACCACTGTTGCTTAATAAAACTCAACAGAACAGACATGTTTTGACAATGCTTCATTTCAAACATATTTCATTCAAAGTATCGCCATATTCATTTCCATTACTTATCTTTTGTAGAGAGTAATGAAAAACCGTGAATTTGTGCTAATCAAGAATGACAATGTCTCACAAAAATGGCATTACAACAATGAAAGTTATTTTTTTCATGTAAATTCGTCGCCAATTTATAATTTGATTTATCGATATCCATTGTATCGAAACTTATAAAGTTGATTGAAATATGCAACCATTTTTACAAAAGATAACTGTGAGAAATCAGGATTTTTGTTTGTTTTTCCACTCTGTATATCAGTTATAGATAGTTGGGAATAGTTTGGGATTTATCTCACCTGACATTTCAATATTCTGGTAGGTAACATCTGTGAGAGAACCTTTTCCAGCATCAGAATGCGTTTTAACGTGAATTCCATTGTCGGAATCTGTTACGTAGCTGTCGATGAAAGTAACGTTTTTGATGGTGTTATCTTCGAATGAACCTGTTTTACTCTGACCCACTGAAATGCTCAGTCCGTGTCCCCCTGAGCAATGAATATTTCTGAAAATCATATTAGATCCTTTATTTACTGCGATACAGTCGTCTTGGTTCGTGACATGGGCGTTGTCGATGATGAGGTTTTTAGACGAGGAAATGTCGAATCCATCAGTGTTGTGTCCCAATTTTTTCTGAAAAAAAAATGAGTTTTTAATTATTGAACAGATTCATTGATGAAAACGAAGCAAATGATCAAGATCCATAGTAATTTCAACAGCAACAACAATTTTAACAGGTACCTTAGACAGAGGTTTAGGTAATTTTTTGGAGATAGTCACAATTATGGTTACCTGTACTATATAAATATTAATGTAAGAACAACTTGAAGTATAAATCACTTGTAAAAGCTACTTTGCTAGCGAAACATGTGATATATTTTTCGAATAAAGTATGTGGAGATCAAATCAAATCAAATTGGAATATAAGACAAATAGATTCAATCCAGGCTAATAAGGGATTAGGGTATAAGTGTAGTGAAGATTATAGAGTATTGTAAATCTATCAAACTCAGTGAATTTGTCTAAAAACACAAAAACCTGAGGAAGAAGTTAACACTGTGAAGAAAATTCTAAAATTCGGGTGTAAGAAGTGTCTTTATGAACATATCCCAAACAAATGCCCTGCTTATAATAAAACCTGTGCAATTTGTCAAGGAAAAGGACATTTTGCAAAAACGTGTTACTACAAGAAAGATGAAAAAGGTCAATTGGCAAGGTCGAAGGAAAATGTTGGCAGATGAAGTCTACAGAAAGAAAAAAACAGTGGGCTGTCGAATTCTTTTTGAATGATTGTCGTGTAGGAAATAATAATTCATGGTATGAAATAGTCACGATTGAAAATTGCAAATCGAAATTTAAGCTTGATTCTGGTAGTGACAGTTGCATTTTACCTATTATGCATTTCAAACAAATAATTCCCAATCCAAATATGAATCCCTGCTTTACAACTTCAATATCTTATGGTAATTTTCGTTTCAAACCTTCAGTTGCAATTACATGCCAGTTCAGAGACATAGTTCAGTATATCAAATTAATTGTAGCTGACTTCAGTTTAGTTAGAGCCACTTTTGGGTCTTTAAGATTGTCTGCATTTGAATTTAATTTAAAAGGTTAATGAAATGAATGTTCTGCCTCAATCAAAAACCAAAGTTCATGAAATATATTAACAATTTTTTGAAGAAATAGGTAATATTTGTGGATTATGTTCTATTAATTTAACCAGTGGTGCTGGGCCGGTAATTCAGTACCAACGGAAAATTCCATTTTCTTTACATTCAACATTGGAAAATACTCTTGAAAATTAGCAAAGTCAAAATATAATTAGTAAAGTTGATTATCCTACCAATTGGGTAAATAGTTTGATGATCGTAGAAAAACCAGATGGATCCCTCAGGCTTTGTATTGATCCAAAACCACTAAACAAATATATTCAAAGAGAACATTTCATTATCCCCACAAGTAACGATATTGTTAGTAGACTTACTAGAAAAAGTTTTTATCCTGTTATAGACATGAAAGACGGATTTTGGCAACTGGAACTATGCACATTTAGTACACCTTTTGGAAAACACAGATTCAATAGAGCTCCTTTTGGGATTTGTAGTATTCCAGAAATATTTCAAAATAAAGTTATCGAAATATTTGGCAATATACTCGGGCTAGAAATATATTTTGACGATACAATTATAAAAATTTTCCAAGTCAAAATATTATTGTGAAGTTGATTATTCTAGTAATTGGGCAAATAGTTTGATGATCGTAGAAAAACCAGATGAATCCCTCAGGCTTTCTATTGATCCAAAACCACTCAACAAGTATATTTAAAGAAAACATTTCATTATTCCCACAAGTAACGATATCATTAGTAGACTTACCGAAAAAAGTGTTTTTTCTGTTATAGACATGAAAGACGGTTTTGGCAACTAGAACTAGATGAGTGTAGATTCATGCACATTCGAGGCACTCTTTTGGAAGAAACAGATTCAATAAGCTCCTTTTGGGATTTGTAGTATTCCAGAAATATTAAAAAAAAAGTTTATCGAAATATTTGGCAATATACTCGGGCTAGAAATATATTTTGACGATACAATTATATCAGGTTTTGATAAAAACTCTCATGATAATACATTCAAAGAAGCAAATTATTTCCGCAAAACATGTAACTCCTAATAAAGATAATATTGAAGCAGTATTGGCCATCAAAATTCCTGAAAACAGAAATGCAGTTTTGAGAATTTTGGGACTCGACAATTTTTTTGGACACCCGAACATGATTTTGAGTTGCATACATTGAAGAAGATTATATCAGAATTACCCACTTTGAAAATTTTTGACCCCAATTTACCTATTGTAATACAATGTGATGCGTCAAGTGAAGGTTTAGGGTGTTATTTAATACAATAAGGTCATCCTGTAGCTTTCGTCTCCATGTGCCTTACAAATTCTGAAAAGAAATGGGCACAGATTGAGAGGGAACTTCTGACTATAAATTTTGCTTTCGAAAAATTCCATTTTTTGTTTATGGATTTGAAGTGAAAGTTGAGAGCGATCATGAACCGTTAATTCCCATATTTTCGAAGAATTTAGATAAAGTATCTGCTCGATTACAAAGAATGCTTCTAAAACTATTGAAATACAAGAATAAAATAGTTTATATACCAGGAAAAAATATGGCTGTAGCTGATACTCTTTCTCGTTCATTCATCACAACAGAAGTTGAGGATGACCCAGAGATGGAATATATCATACATACGCATTACAATAATAATCCTATGTCTTCAGAAAAAAAGATCATTTTTCAAAAAGAAACGAATAATGATAACACTTTGTCGAAAGTCAAACAATTTTGCGAATCAGGTTGGCCCGAAAATATCAAAAATGTTCCTTCAGACTTAAAAGTCTACTGGAAATTCAAAGAAAATATCTACTTATCCAACAACTTATTGTTTCTCGAAACCAAAATCATAGTTCCGTTATCTTTGAGAAAAGAAATGTTGAAGCTTATTCATGAAAGCCATTTTGGAATAGAAACATGTAAACTAAGAGCACGTCAGGTATTTTACTGGCCAGGATTAACAAAAGATGTAGAAAATGTAGTTCAAAATTGTGAAACCTGTTCAAAATATAAAAAAACAAACCAAAAAGAAACACTAGTGAGTCATACCTTACCAACTCGAATCAGGCAATATATTTTTTCAATTTCTTTGAATTTAATGGTAACAATTATCTTCCCAAAGTGGATTTCTATTCCAATTGGTCGGAAGTAACAAAAACGAAGTCTAAATCAGCTGACGATGTCATCAACTTCTGCAAGGAACTTTTTTCTAGATATGGCTTTCCTGATATATTTTATTCAGATAACGTTCCATTTAACTCGTTGAAGTTAAAAAGATTCGCTGAAGAATGTTCCCTTGAATTAATTTTCAGCAGTCCTTACAACCATCATTCGAACGGTCTTGCAGAGAGGTATGTTGGTATCGTTAAGGACATGTTGAAAAAACCGAATGACGAAAATAATATAATTTATCGTTCTCCATACTAGAATATCACAACACTCCTTTACCTCAAAATAATTATTCCCCTGCCCAAATATTTCTACACAGAATTTTGAAAACAAAAATTTCTACATCAGAAGAAATTTTTAAGCCTTCCATTATAGATATCAATTAATATCAAAATGAATTAGAAAACAAATATGCTCAACAAAAACATTACTATGATAAGACTGCTAAAGATTTACCTGCATTGAAATCAGGAGATAATGTAATGGTTCAGAATGATACAACTTGGAGGAAAGATCAAGTGAAAGATATAATTGATGATAACATTACATTTGAAGAATGTGAAGAATCATTTGGAAATGAATTTGTACTGTTGAGCTCAAATAAGAAGAGAAATCGTAAAAAACATACATATTGAGATGATGATTGATTTGTTGATATTGAAATCTGCGTTTTGTTTCGTGATTATTATTTTTATTGTCATTAGTTTCAAATTTGTTAAAAAAAAGGGGAAACGTGTTATATGTATATTCATTACCCTGTATTAGGGTGGTTGTCATGACGGAAAATAACAAGAATAGAGGTACAACTAGAAGGTACAAAAACTGTTAGAAGATACTGAAAGATAATAAAGTTTTTTTCCGTTTATTGATGTTTTAAAAGGCTCATAACAATAATCAAATATAATTTTTATTGAAAAGTGATACTGGAATGTTTGGCATAGATTAAATGCAAAACAAGCATTGTTCCCAAATACCAGAACTGCAAATTGTTCTCGACGCGTGTTTCACCAACCAAGTTGGTATCTTCGAAGGTGAAATATACTTATTCCTTACTTCAAAACTGTTACCTATGAACCAGCTTCAAAGTTATAAAATCTTATTCAACAACACCAACATGGTTGGTGGAACGCGCGTCGAGAAGAGCAGTTCTGGTGTTTGGGAAAAACGTTTGTTTTGGATGATTCACTTCACTTGAAATATTCTAGTTTAATAAGAAACAATCATCTACTACAATTAGTACAACTACCATTAGTAGATAATCTATGAGGTAGAATTCTCGTTATTTAATATTTTCTCTTTGCGTTTTCATCCGTGAAAGATTTAATGATTACATCGTTTCTCGTTCTCTCTTGTGTATTATATTATTTTGTAAAGTTTCAAATTTATTATTTGAAACTTCTCAGAAAGCATTTTGTCATATCATTTATTGCATCAGATAGTTATTAGACAGCACCGAATCGATCGACAACGACTTTTTAAGCATTACACCTATCAAGGTACTTACTCCAGCAGAATTATCAATATTGAAATTAGACAATGTCAAGTCACTACAGGAGTCAATGGATACACATTGAACTGGACAGTTAAGCAGCTGCAGATTCTTGAATACAGAGCCTCCTTTAGCTTTAATTTTGAAGAACTTTGGTTTTGTGGTTTTTTCACCTTTGCCATCCCAATATGCAGGACCCTGTCCATCAAGTTTCGATCCTATAAAAAGAGTGTTCAAATGAAATAGTGTTCACAATCAGGTGCCTGTGAAAGCTGCCACATAAATATTTCAAAAATATTACGGTTTTGGAAACAATCTGTTTAAAAAAATCTGTTTTAAATCTGTTTTTCCATTAATCAATTGTTAATGATAATATTTTTCAAAGATATCGAATGAAAAGATAAAATAAGAAGTCAAGAGCTGTTATGCCCCATCTAGAAATATGAAGTGATACTTTTCAACTATATTAATAAGTTGAAATTGGTAATTCACTAACCGTCAATTAATTGTTTTATAAATATTGTAATGAGAAATAATTCTTTGTTGTTACCTCAAGCAATGCACAGACACGTTAAATAGAATAAACTTCAAGGCAAAAATCCGATACAGTCTACTGTCACAAACTCAGATGATTTTGTTTGATTGGATTAAATGAACGTATTTCAATCTGCGAGAATGTGTTTTGGCAATTCATGAACTCCATTCAGTGAATATGAGGAAGAACATATAAGGAAAAGCACATCAACATAACATCAAGTGGCCCAAAGCTGAGATCATCCACAGGGAGAAACGTTGGTTTGAGAGAAAGTTTAAAGAAGCTGCATATATATTGTTCAACCAAGCTATCGAAGAGATACGCAACATATGGTAACCGGTATTCAAGCAGAAAAACGATCAACCCCCGCTATACCGTTGAAGCGGACAGAGGGAAGAGTGTAAGCGAAAGCGCTCGAATGACCTATAGTCATCTCTCGAAGCGATAGTCCAGTCATCACCCGAAAACGATTGTTGATACTAACAATCCAAACGTCGTGTTACTTAGTTTGAAGTTTTTCTCAATTGTTTTAATGTCTATTTGAATTCTTGTCCATTTTTTTATTTCCTTTTTAATTTCTTTTCATTTTTTATCTGTATCCTTTTATTCGTTTTATTGTATTTTCATTTCACATTTGATTGCTTAAAATATGACTGATATTTCAGCTATTCATTCTAACTTTATTTGTTCTTTCATAGATTACGAATCATATTAAACAATGGAAGTCCGAACTAGTGAAATTCACTATGAAACATAGTTAACAACTTTTAAACAATCTGTAACGTAACTTCAAATCGTCTAATCACCAGATCTGTGACACTGCCAAACGGGTGCCAAATGTGTGCCAAACGTCTGACACATGTTTGTCAGCTGCAAAATGCCAAATGAATATCCAAGAAATGATAAATCGTATAATCTGGAGTGCTAAACGTTTAGACATGACTACATAAATCGCTCTTTGTTAAATCAAGTGCTGTTCAAAGATTCGTTTCTTTCATTTGTACCGAATGTAAATTGTTTTAATGACTTCATCTCCGACAGCTCGTAAAACGGAATTGAAATGGACGAATACGATATTTTAAAGAAACGAGGAATCTATTGAAAACACACAAACTAACCCTGGTCATTCGATAGCTCCCAAGAATTAGGATGCATCGAATTAAAACCAAGGTTGAGATAGTCTACGATTGGAAAGGACCAATCGTTACCGGGAAAACGACAAGCGCTATGGAAACATGCATTGCCCGAATACATAGCACACACAGACTATGTTCGAGAAAACAGTTGCTGGTGAGTTTGATGAAGGCGACAATTGCAATGAAGTCAAGTGAAATGGATGAATCTTTGCAATACTTTCTAGACCAATCTGGCAAAATTAATAATGAAAAAATTGGACTAATATGCAAATGAATTGTACACAGCGGTGTGGAAGCATTCTGACGAAACGATGTTTGGGAAATATGACAACTGAATCAATCGGCGGAACCTACAATGTTCATGGCTTATATTTTTCTTTGACAATTTTCAGGAAACTACCTCTACTTGACCACAACAGTATTTTGCGTTAGAAGTCCGGTAGATGACTTGTTTTTCAACAAATAGGCACCTAACAGACATGTATCTGAAAACCTGAAAAAAAAAATTTTTCTCTATTCTGTCCATTTTTAACTAATCATAACCCGTTTGACAGCAGGTAGGTAATGGCTCATTTATAATACACGTGTATTCCGTGAATTTTTTTTAAAAATTATGAGATATGTAACATTTATTTTGATAAATATGATCTCATGAATACCTTCAATTGTCCAAAAGCCAAAATAGTGAATTTTCTCTCCAAATTCTTTGTAGAATCGAAATAAAAATCATATTTTCAGTAAATTTATTGTTCAACAGTTTGTGGGTTGGTAATGAATCTAGTTATATCCGTGTATCGACAACCATTCGTTTTAGGCAATAGTCATATGCGCCTGAAGATAGGAAGCAACGACCATCCAAAATAGAGAGAGAGAGAGAACAATTTTTTTAAATTATGAGCTGTCACTCAGTTTCTCATAAATTGAAATTGAGTGATAACGATCAAGAAATTTGTGCTACCCCACCAGATATTACTATGCAAGCAAGTATTGCGATAAATTATTTGCTGCCAGAAAAATCAAGATTAATTTACGAATATCATTTCGAAAATTTTATGAGTTGGAGAGAGAAGAAAAAAAACTTTGTTTTCCGAAAACTTTCTTCTCGTTTATTTCGAATATTTAGCAAAAACTTTGAAACCATCGTCATTATGGACAATTTACTCAAAGCTGAGTACCCTGAATATCAAGAAAAATGTGGACATGAGCAAATATTCCAAATCACGTGCCTCTCTAGAACGCAACTCTGATGGTTACAAACCGAAAAAATCGTCGACGCTCACCAGTGAACAAATAAATAAATTCGTTATGGAAGCTCCAATTGACAAATATTCGTTTTCGAAGGTAACACAACTCCGCTTTTTCCTTCTATTCAATTTTTTATGAAATTTTTGAAAATCGATTATGTACTGATATCACTATCAGAGAACTCATCGGTAATCGCCAGAGTAGCTCAGCGGTTACGCCAGTTACGTGGAAACAGATATCAAGAAACGTGCCTTATCTACAGTAGCCCGAGACTTTGCAAACTCATTATATTTCAAATCTTGTAATAATTGTCTTAATAAAGATTCATTCTTTGTAGTGCTCTCGAAGAGAATACACGCTTTTTGAGTCTTATGTGAAATCGATTTTCTTTTTAAAAACTAAGTTCTCGATTTCCAATACATAATTCGCATGTATATAATGTACATATTTTTCCTATAACCTGAGGTCAAATCCCACTGCTGGAAGAATTTTTTACATGAATGATATAATTATATATTAGTAATATTTCTCGGAGGGTAGTGGGTAAAATGAAATGATATAACAACTTAAATTTATTTCTAGGTTGCAATAATTTTATTGCTATTTCTGGAGCATGCCGAAAAAAAAGAACTGAAAGATATGCAAATAGATCATATTAAAGATATGGGCCAAGAACTATACATCAACGTACCAGACACAAAAACTAAAACCGAAGGATCATTCATTATTTCTGTAAATTTCTATAATATTTGTAAAAAGTACGTGAACCTGAGACCAAAAAATGTTGACAACTACCAATTTTTTTAATAATTATCAAAATGGGAAATGCACTCGCTAGGTTGTTTGACTTAATAAACCAAAAATTATTGCCAAATTTTCACATTTGGAAAATCTAGAAACATATACTGACCATTGCTTCGGAAGATCATCTACAACTATCCTAGTTGATAGAGGCATTAAAGCGCCTTGGTGAATGGAAAATCGGACCGTGGCCGAAAGTTATGTAGAGTTATGTAAATGTAATCATAAAAAGTATTGAAAACATTTGTATTCCCACTGTTTCAAATTCTCAACAAAACGAAATAAGACCGTCTTCCTCCCACATCGACGACGGAATATCATTGAATAATTGTAATAATATAACTATAAATGTACAAAAATTATAACAAAAATGAAATATTGTCACCAATTTTAAAATTATTTGATTGTTCTGACTAACTGACTAATAGTGTTTATTATCCAAAGCCATAATCTCAAACAAATATATTGTACCATTTCGTTCTACGGTCATTCGTAGAAAAAGTATAGTACGCACCTCGAGGATAAGTCCAATTACGTCAACTCGCGAATTATCCCACTCGGCTAAAGTCTCGTGCTAACAATTTTTCGCTAGTGGGTGATAGGTTTCTTATCCTACTTGGTACGTAATATACTATTAAAAATGCCTCTTTTAGAGATGTTACTTCTGGTAAATTTTTTCGATGATAATTTTTCTGGTTTTAAGAATGGAAAAGGACCATATATGATCATACTGTCAAATATAGAAAATAATCATGAAATGATTCAGATTCATTTGAGTAAATATATGAATTGAAAGATATTCCAACCTCACTTCAATATTTTAACACAAGAACACCCAGTATTCAGAATTCCATCTTTTGATATTTCAAGTTTATAGTCATCGAAATTGATCCGATCACAGGATATGGAATATAAAACAATCTCCAAATATGCAAACTTGGCACAGATTGCATGCTGTGCATTTTACCTCAGTACAGTGACCGGATCAAAGTCGCAATGTCAGCGTATAATTCTTTATAAATATTGAGGGAGGTCAAGATCATGGATAAGAGTTAACTGTTAACAGTCAACAGACAGTATTCATTTACGTATCGATTGGGTCATCAGAAATGCAGCACATCTCCTTTTCTTCAATCCTGCTGGGTGGCAGTATAATGTAAGTTTTTTGATTATTTTAATGTATTTTTTTCATTAACATTTGAGTTTGAGTTTATTTAAAGTATTTTTTCCGTTTCTTTTACAATAAACATTTAATTAAGTTTTAAATGAGTTCTTTTATTATTTGAATGAATGAATGAATGGGTGAAACAGCAATAAAATCCTCTCGTTAATAGCCAAGCGAGAACTGAGTTGCGACACGTGGTGGAGGCGCCTCTCTCGTTCTCGGGGGCTTCATTCTTCATAATGGGCCTAATTTTCTGATACAAAAAGTTGAATTGTTCAAGTTTTGAAAATATGTTGTGATAATTAGCAGAAAAGTGTATTTTTCTTTTGTTTTCCAATAATGAGAGAATTTAATAGCTGTTTCATCCAGTAAAATTACAGTTTTTCCTTCTTTTTAATATACCTCAAATAAATGCTTTTTTTGATAGTTTGATAATTAGTTTTGAATATGTTATAAGTTGGTTCTTGTGCTTCAATTTTTTTTTTAAATCCAAATACAACCTATTATTTCAGTCAATTTTCCATGTTTACCTTCTCCTCAAATTATGAGTAATACACTTTCTAATAACTGTCCATCAGCTTAGAAAGAAAAGTATTACTGAAGTTGAGCAATCATAAAGAATATCTGTTCATTCAGCTTCTTAAGATTGCCAATGGAATAATTTGAAAAAATTTTCATTTATCGTCTGTAAATTTCGAAAGTATGAGCGGTACATTTTCCAATATCTGTTTTATCAGCTTGGAATTGTACAGTTGAATTGGCTAAACGTATGGAATATCTGTTCATCCAGCTTCGTACGATTACCCATTACATGATTTCGAAATTTTGCATATGTATCTGACTTTTTGAAAAATAAATGATACACCTACCAATATCTGTTTCATCAGCTTGGAAATGTGTATCATAGTATCATAAGATATTCCTTGTTCCCAATCATCCTTCAATAATTTATTGGTAATGACTCGAAAAAAAAATCATAGTAGTCATCAACGTCAGCTATTGAGTAATTAATACATTTAATTCAATCAATGAGAATATTGACACAAAAAAGATGTCCATTTTTGAGTTTTATTTGCTTTTTGAAAGTTGTTTTTCCCGTAGTCGATTCATCGTCCATATCCATAAGGTTTATTTTGTAACCCACGTATTTTTTCTGATTTTGCTTCTCTTTTATAATCATTAGAGTGAGTTGTCATATTTGATTGACGTTTATATTTTTCATTTTTATATTTCATCTGCTGTTTTAATAGTAATAATTTTCAATTCAGTATAAGTAATATTTAGTTGATATAACGGCGTGAACAAACATACATGTGCTCCAAATGAAATCCTTATCGAATATGATCTATTACATATACCTTTATGAAAAACATCCCTGGCTACTATTTTTATTAACAAAATACATAGTAATTTGACACACAAACTGTTGCCTGATTTTTTTCATAATACCGAAAACTTTGATATCAATATGGTTAACAGAAAAATAGACCGAACTTTAATAATATAAAACATCTTACACTATGTTGAGATAAGGAACGCCATCATGATCGCCAGCATGAAACAATCCTCATCTTTGACACCCAGTATAAATATGAACTCTTATCGATTGGTTTTTGACGTTTTTTTTGATACAGTGCAATGTAAAATATTGAAAGTTTTCTCAGATTTACCATTTTCAGTAAATTTTGGGAAACTCTTTCCTTTAAGTTTTAACCGTAATAATTAATTTCCTATAAATAGTTATTGCGAAACTATTATCAAGAGGTAATAAAAGATGATGGTCTTCAAAAATTTTATTAAAGCATGTTTTACATGGCAGTGTTACACTTCAATCATACTTACCTCTCTTTCACAAAAAGTTTTTTCCTCAAATTCTATTGTTCACTATTTTTTGCATAATCTTAAGCGCCACGCCTATAACAAAACAAAATTTGTTAAACTATACTCTGTAAATGTATGTAATCCTTCATGAAAATTTGTAACTGGAAATGTTCAGAGTACATATAATATTAAACAAAAATTAATTCATCTAGTTAGGTATCTATTATACGAAAAAATTTCAGAAATCTGAATTGTTTAATAAATGAGTATTCTGACTCAAATTAAAATATACACTTTCAAACATATAAGAATCGAGAATAGTTAGGATGTAATAATTAGAGAATAGTAATTAATTAAAAATGCAGATACAAAATATTTTTTCAGTTGCAATTAGTTTTTTAAAATATAATTTCACATACAATTAATTAGGGAAAAATAAGGAGTAATTACATAAGAAAAGAAACATAATAATAATAAATGCATTATTGACACACCACTGGGCAGAAGAAGTACAAACAATTCAGTGTCACCACATGGTTTTATTTTTATTTTATATTGAAAGTAATAGGAAGTAGCATCTCAGACTGATGATCTACAAACAGTGAAGTTTGTAATATTATGAGAAATAAAAGAAGCGTATAGATATATTGAAAAGGTGAGAATTGATAATTATGTATTGAAGAAGAATCATTTATATAGGTAGACTATACACACAAGATGAAAAGGCAGACTGTGGAGGACGCTCCCAAAACTGCATGAAATTTTTCATTTTTGAAGGTGTGTATAAGAGTTAACTGTTAACAGTCAACAGACAGTATTCATTTACGTATCGATTGGGTCATCAGAAATGCAGCACATCTCCTTTTCTTCAATCCTGCTGGGTGGCAGTATAATGTAAGTTTTTTTATTATTTTAATGTATTTTTTTAACAACATTTGAGTTTGAGTTTATTTAAAGTATTTTTTCCGTTTCTTTTACAATAAACATTTAATTAAGTTTTGAATGAGTTCTTTTATTATTTGAATGAATGAATGAATGGGTGAAACAGCGAATAAAATCCTCTCGTTAATAGCCAAGCGAGTACTGAGTTGCGACAATACTAGGCATTAATGTTTCACTTCGCTCTTTGAAAGACTTAAAAACAGATATTTTTTCAGAAAAAATTAGATTTTTCTAATATTGTGACTATAAACCAATGTAAATAAAAAATAATTTTTGAGAGAGATATAATATTCAGTTTTGAACTAACCTGAAGCTCCTGTTACAGTGATTTTGTTACCACTGATGATGACAAGGGGGCCTTTCCATACATGGTGTTCGAATTTGGTTGTACCCTGGAATGTCAGTTTGGCGTTGTCTTTGAGGTTGAGTTCCAAAGTTTTTCCAGCGGGAACAGTGAGACCTGAAATTACGATATTACTGCAACTCTTCACTACGGAGTCAACTTGGTTAAAACTGGTGATCGTGCAGCCTCCACCAAGATCCACAGCAGGAGTTGCTGTGATTGCTACAAATGCTGCGGATAACACAACTAGTAAGCTCAAACGAGACATATTTGTTTCACTGTGATGAAAATATCTTCGTTTCGTCTTTATATAGAGAAATTCATTGACGTAAAAGTATTTTGGAGTGTTTTCCACATTCACAATCGAAAATAAAACACTTCAAAACTTATGCCAGGTTAGGAGATAAATATTCCATTAAAATAAAAACAATGTCGCATCGATAACAATCCATATTTTTTTATCAATTTGCATCTGGAAAAATACCTGTTATTCCAGATTCCAAAAGTGGAAAAAATTGAACTTTTGCGGGGCAACTTGATAAAATTGCAATTGTGTTTAATAAAATCATTCTATTTTTTAAATAAAATAATAATAATATTAATAATAAATGGTCTTTATTTTACGTGGCGGAGTTTAGCAAACCTCTATTCTTCCACTCAACCACGTTTGAAAAAAAAAAAAAGAAACATTACAAAAAATAAATGGCAACTTCAGGACAATAGTAAGATTAAATTCAAATGTTTATGTTTGTATCACTGTTGGCTGAGCAATTCAGTTTTAAGTTTACTTTTGAACAGCAGTAGTGAAGAATTTTTCAAAGATTCACTGAATGAATTATACGTTGTTACAGCATGATACGTGAAAAATCGTTCATAAATAGTGCTGTTATGATTCGGAATTGTTAAATCTAAAGTTTCTTGAGTGTATCTGATGTCTGGGAAGGAGTTTATTTACCAAATAAGTGGGTTCTTGTGTATTTATCAGTTTGTAATGAAACAAGCGAAATAAAATTCACTTCTGTTTTGCATTTTTAACCAATTAAGTTGATTGATGGAAGGGGTCACATGATCTCTGTAATTCAAGCTGAATATTCTAATGCTGGCGTTCTGTACTTTCTGAGTTCTTGCAGAAGTTATGGAATCGATACAAGGACCATAGACGACATCGCAATAATTAAACATAGATAGAATCAGTACGTCTGAAAGGATAATTTTGAGAGACCTACTAAGATAGTGTCTGTTTGAATACAGATATTTCAGAGTACCTTACGACCTTTGAATGAGAGTATTGATTTGATGAACAAATCTGAGGTTGTAGTCTATATGAAGTCCTAAACATTTTATTTTGTCAGTCAGTTCCACAGAATGTCCATCAATATACAAATCGATATTATCTATGGCCCGCCCTTCCACGATCTTTGGGTTTTACAAAAATGATTAAAGATGATTTACTAGGATTAAGGTTTAGACAGTGTTGCTGCGAAATCTGAACAAGATTTTTTATATCATTATTGAGCGATGTTTCGTGATCAATAAGCTGATTTACTTTATCGGAGTAGTACAAGTTAGTGTCGTCTGCATATGTATGAATGTTGAATAACTTAAGGACCTTGGAGAAGTCAGATGTGTAGATAATAAAGAGTAGCGGGGCGAGAATTGAACCTTGCGAGGCTCCATGACAAACACTCATATTATCAGACTGACTACCCTTTATCACAGCACGTTGCTTTCTATTTTTTTTAAATGAACTAATAAAGTCAGATGCCTCCTTACTGAAACCAAAAAAACCAAGTTTGGCGCACATCAGATCGTGATTCATGGTGTCGAAAGCCTTACTGTAATCGAGAGACAAGAAAAGAGTGACCTTTTCATTATCGGTAGCTGAAAAAATATCTTCGGTCATTTTCAACGGAGCACTAGATGTACTTTGATTTTTCCGAAAACTTGGTGTTCAGGTAGGATATTATTATCAGAGACATAAGAGTATATCTGACTATAGGCTGCCTTTTCTACAATTTTTGATATTGCCGGTACTATATTTATGGGCCTCAAATCATTTGGTGTCAAAGGTTTATATGTTATGTTTATAGTAAAAATGATAGATTGTTTCCATAGTTCCGGGAAGATACTGGTTTCAAGGCATTTGTTGACTGAATATGTTAGAACTGGAGTTAAGTAAGGGACACATATTTTGATCATTTTGATAGATATCTTATCTGACCCTGTAGAATTCGTTTTTATAGAGTTGACTATCATGTTAATATCATCCATATTGATTTGATGGAATTTAAAAGTTGAATTTTCTTGAAATTGCGTTGTTTTGTAGAAGTTAAGAAGAGTATCCGGAGGTTCAGTCGCAATTTGACTGACCGAAGTAATAAAGTGATTGTTTATTTCATTAGGATTAGAAAGACGTCATGTACAAATTCTCAAAGCCTTTCGTCGGTTGATTGAATCTGAAATAGTCAAAGAAAAATGTTGTACCTATTTTAGATTTCGTTCCAGTGAACTGAATTCGATGAATTTTCAATTAAAAATTACTGTCAAATTGAATTCGTCGGTAGGAATACTGTATATTCATTTTCCGTAAAATTTTTACTGAGATGACAAAATATACTAAAGAGTAATCGAAAATGAAATACGCATGCCAAATGAAATATTTTTCGCAACAGAGGTAATGATATAGCGCAATTTACCCATGATAACTAGGCAAAGAAACATTTTTGAGAGAAACAATAATAATAATAATAAATCGGATTTATTGAAAATACAAAAAATCACAAAGAGAAATGAGAAAAAAATTACAGAAGATTTTGGTACTCATTGGCGAAGTCTAGCTCAAGCTACTCAAACTCAACCAACAAGCACCACTCCATAATGGATGCGAACATACAGAAATTTAAAAAACAATCAAGGGTGTGGTACCATGACGGGAAAAAAATGAATAAAAACATTAATTGGTGATTATCTCTTGAAGAGTTTATTTATTTATCTACCAATATTGGGGTTACAAACAGATTAACAAATCCAATAGAGTACCCATTTCATAATTGGACTTTGGAAAAAGTACATTGTACAATCAAAAGATAACATAATTATTATAAGTGTGACAAAGACTACAGAAATGATCACAACTTATCAATGAAGATTTTATTCATCCTGCCTTTGACTTAGTCTAAAGAAGTTTCAAAATATTGAATATTGTTGCCAAATTTGTTGATGATTATAAGTGGTGAATTTTGTACGACTCAGCGTTTCACCCTGAACATTGAACTCGATTTTGAAATGAAGTTCTGGATAGTGAACTAATCCTTTGATCAGCTTGAAAATCATGTTGAGATCCGTGGACAGTTCTTCAATCCTTCATAGGGATAATATTGTATTGGCACATAATGGGACTATAGTCGGTATTCGTATGTATAGTCTATTTCAAAAGAGTGTAGAGTAATAAAATCTCATTAAAAATTCAAAAGCGCTACAGGATGATCCGTCAATAAATTCTGTCACTTCCCTAGTCCGCATTGCAAAATTATGTCGTTTCATAAAGAGCAGGTAGGTATCACCCTGTTTTAAGGGATTTGTCCA